TGCTGCTGCTGCTGCTGTAGAGCAAATAGCGAGGCCAATGTGCTAACTGGGAGGTTCGCTAAACTTGATTGAACTAATGCTGCCTGTAATTGTGGATGATTTTGGTGCTGGTATCCCTGCTGCTGGTGTTGCTGCTGTGTATGATGCTGGTGCAGAAGTGCGCCAGCATTACGGATACTTTGACCCATCTGCTTCCCACTACCATTTTCTAGACCTGCAGCAGGCAATAAAGCTGTGCCAACCATACTCAGCGAATCATTTGAATGTCGACGTGAGCTTCCACTGCAATTGTTAATACTGGCGTTGCCCGAAGCTTGACTGACTGTCACATTGGCGGTCTCCCCGCCCAATATTGCACTGGCACCCAAAGTTGATGCTGTTCCCGTTAGCAACTGCTGGTAAAGCATTTGGAGTCCGGCCACGTCAATTGCAATATCATCACCTACCAACTGACCAGTCTGTCCGCCAGCAAACATCGGTGACGGAGGCCCGGATGACGGACTTTGGCTGAATAGGTACTGATAGGCGAGGCGCAGGATGTCGCCGTCGCCTACAGCTCCACCACTCATTCCACCAGCAACACCATTACCTATGCCTGCTATGCCGGCACCAGTGGATATCTGACTAAGCAGCAAGTAATTAAGAAGCTCGGCAGCGTTGTGACTTTGGGCGAAAGTCGGAGCTAGGGATGGTTTGAGTCCAGTATCTTTTACCAAATCAGATGGGCAGGTAAGTTTCTCTATAGGGATACAAAAACAAGGATTTAGCAAGATCGAGACTAGTTAGCTAACCAAAAATGTGAGTGCAGGGAAATTAGGACATATTGGAATTTGTTTATGAATTTGGAAAATGATATCGATTCAACCATTTAAGGAATTTCTGAATGAAATCATGTGGCGATCCCATTTATTTATAAATCAACCTTTGATGAAAATCAGTAAAATTCTTTAAAGATGATAGTAGATTTAAATGCTCTTTTAGGTTAAGTAGGTGAAAGAAATGCTGTAACATATTAAATGAATAAAAATGATAACAAAGTACAAAGTTAATTGACAAAAACCAGGTTAATTAAGCTTATTTAAAGATTTATGAGGATTTTTCACCTGTCAATGCAGCTAATAGAGCCAAATTCTGATCATAAGGCTGTGGAATTGGAACTTGGCGAATCTGAGTCCTCCCCGAATGGCCAACATTACATCTTTCTGCCCGTCCAACCAATAGCGACTCTTCTTCATCCGCCTCTCTCTCCTCCTCCGGTCTATCTGAACGATAGTTTGGATGGTGTCGTTCCCTTTCTCTTATCCTTAGGACAGCCTCAAGCCCCGCCTCGGTTTCCTCCTCCTTCATGTCAGCTAGTGACAACTTTCTTCGCCTACCATTGTCTCTGCTCACCTCATTTCCATGCATCTCCAGTTCACGATCATCTTGTCCTCGACCAGTTCGACTCTTTTCAACCTCCCCTATCCTTGAGCATTTATCACTTCTACTTCCTGTCGGGCCATTTCTTCCAGGATTAGGTAGTATTATGTGTTGGTGCTGAAAATACTGATGTCCAGGCAGATGCTGGTGCTGGTGTGCAGTGGTAGTTTGCGCATAGGGCTGAGTATGCCCTTGTGCTTGCGAGGTTGGATATGGTGACCTGGTCAGTTCATGCAGCAGGTCCCAGCGTGCATCTGACCCTGGCCCCGAGGCGGAGGCCGCGGGCCCTGCAGGAGTAGCAGTGGCCCCGGGCGGAAGGCTAGTAAGATCACCTACACTCGACCAGCGACTACTAGCACCGCTGTAGCAGCCTGTCAACTCTTCCACATAGCGAGCCACAGAAGCCATGTTTTCATCAAGCAACTTCTGCGATTCGCGGCCTGCCGCCACCAGCTGATCAAGGTTGGTGATACCTGAGGCTGAGGTCGGGGCTACGCCAGAGACAGCTTGCCCATGAACTCCGGTAAATGAGTCAGCTTCTTCGCGTAGGAGAAGATCAGAGAACTGACTAGTCGACGATAGATCCGCAAGCGAGCCTGCTGTAGCGGTATTTACGCCACACCCTGTGGTGCTAGTGCTACCTGGAGCGGCGACAGTGGTGATTGTGTTGGCGCCAGATGAGACAATTCCAGTGAGCTGCGTTGTCCCCCTTGAGCGGCCGAATGTGGTGAAACCAGCTTCGCCCGTGGGCCATCTAAAACGGCCATTAGAGGCTGTGGAACCAACAAGTTCTTCGTGCTCAAGAAGCGAACAATTTGGTAGACTCGTTTCAGATACAGAGCCCCCAAGGCCACTTGAATCATGGCTGAGATCATCAACACCCAGTTGGAAGCTGTTGTAACTTAGAAGGCTGGTGTTTGCTAGGCTTCCCTCTCCTGTCAAAGTGGACGTAGACATAGCTTTTGCGGCAGTAAGAGCTACTTGGTTTCTATTGGTAAGACTGGCTAGAGTTGATGCAGCAGTTGGATGGCATGCTCCGATGGTACCGGAACAGGTGCCTACGTCAAGACTGACAGAGTCCGAAATCGCTGGAGCCGTGTGGATAACGCTTGTGTCAGCCTCGGAACCGACAATGATGCCGGTAGTGTAAGCAGAGCCATTGCCGGGGAAATGGGCTGTTGACTTGGGCATCATTTGGGCTGCAGTTTGCGTACCGGCTAGGCATGGCCTGCCCATGATAGACTGACTAGTCAGTAGGGGAGATGACAGATCGTCTTTCCGCTTTCCAAGGTGTTCAATGGAGGAGTAACCTGACTTTTGCCGATCACCAGCCTGCCAATTAAGCGTAGGCGTGGCATAAGAAGTGGCCTTAGCTAATGGAGAGTCGCAATGAATAAAAAAACAAAGAAAATTTTAATATATCAATTTACCTACTGAGGCCTGATAAAGAAAATTTGCTATCTGCACATAGTTTAATGTTCCATTTGATTTTTGTAACATCCATTATCAAATCAATCCGTTCTATGTAATATTCATCATTTCATGAATCAAGAAATGAAAAAATGAATCTCAATTTGAACATCAACCCTCTTCATACGGGCGAAACATTCTATCT